TCATATTTTCTTCTAACTTGAGTAACAATAACACGGGCCTATAGTGATGAGGGCTCCCCCTCCCCCTCCCCCCCCTCCCCCTCCCCATCATTCTTGTTTCTCCTTTCCACACTCTTTGCCCTATTTCATGAAGTTCCCAGTGTATTTTTTGTGTTAATGATTATCTAATTGCTTTTCCATGTGTGAAACTCATAAAGTTAATGCTAGACTATGAGGCCTGACGCCTCCCTGAAGGAACTCCCCAGAGTTAAGCTTTCTTACCTCATATAAATGAATTTGCTCCTTTGTCACAGCAAAGATCAATAAAATGTTATTTTGCACCAATTTCTCTATAAGTTGTCCAATTGTTGGATATTCCTGGAAAGAATATGAAGATTTAAGCTGAATTCATGTAACATTGAAGTATGGAATATGAATAAGAAGACAGATTTGGGAAGTTTGGGTTAGAATCATTTAGAATTGAGGATTCTCATAATCAATCAATAAACATTTATTAAGCACCTACTATGTGCCAGGCACTGTGTTGGTCATTATGCCTCTCACTACAAATATATAAATGTAATATTACAGGGTAGGTATTTACTTTATTTTGCTAATAACTCTTTGTAATGAACATTTGACTATTAAAAGTTTTTAATTTCTTAAAAAAATTTTCAATAGCCCATATGTTTTCTTTTCTTTTTCAGTGGGTCACTTGACATTTAATTAGAAAATTGGAAGACGTTTGTGGTAGAAGTGATCCTTGAGTGGTATTTTCAAAGTAGAAAAACATTACTCCCTTTATTAAGTGCCATTTGGCAGTCAAGGAAGAATGCTGTAAGGGGGGAGGGATGGGTAGGTATGGGGAGCGGCACGCACAGCTGGAGGAATCTCACTGCCAAAGACCTGAAACAACTACCCACCGATCTGGGAAAGGGTGGATGGAATGGGAAGGATCCAGGCAGAGATAGCTGGACAAGGAAATGAAATATTGCCTTCTTTTGCCCCACCTTATGTGACATGATCCCTGTATGGTTTCTTGGATTGAGAAAACTGGCCTTTCCTGATGTCATAACTTTGCTTTTAAGTGATTCTGCTATCCTTTACAGGGCCACTGAAACACATTCCAATTCTGTGTTGTGGTAACTAACACATTTCCAGGAGATGGGGCTTGTTTTTCTTTTTAAAAATATTCTTAATAAGAAAAGCTATTGAGAAAATTTGGAGCCCAAAATCTTATAGAAGTGAATGTTGAAAACTAAAAAGAAATAAAATACATATAAAAAAGAAAAGCTATTAATTAGCAACTCTATATATTGTCCTTTTTAAGACAGGCCTATTTATTCTCCAAGGTTGGGGGAATGAGGGAATTTTTCTGGGAATGCTGTTATGGTGCTGTATGAAACTGAAGATAAAGAAGAGAGGCTAATGGATGAAGGATTCAAATGGATGAATAGTGCCCATGAAGGTAAATGAGAATGGCTCATGTCATTCCAGGATAGAAAACCAAACTTGCACATTGGCAAGCATCTGATATGATCACATGTTCCTGAGTTTTCCTGGATATTTTAGGCTAAAGGTCCTATTTTAGATACGGATGAATTTCCAATGCAAACATATTAAGTTTTGTTTTGTCTTTCCCTGAGATGCTCAGATTATTAACTGGATGTAGAAATCTGGCAACATTGTATGTATTTTCATTTAATTAGTTCATTAGGAGTAGAGGTGGTGAATGATGCAAAAGCAAATTCATATGGTTTCACTAAATCTCTCATAACACAAGTTCATGCCATCTTTGTTCACCCAGAATGTATAGCTTCCTTCTACCTTCTGCTTCAATGTCCTGTTTTACTTCCTTTCCTGCATTTTCCATTATAGTCCAATTGACCTGCTGGCTGTTTCCCTGCTGTGTGGTCCTTTGCCTCTATGTCTGGAATTAGTCTCTCCTTTCCTCCCACTGCCTTGTGGAATCCCTAGCTTTCTCCAAAGCATGGCTCAGGCAACACCTCCTTTAAGGCTCTGCCTGATCTTTTCCCTCCCCCTACCAGTTATTAGCACTCTGTTGAAATTATTTTGTATTGCTTCCTATATATTTTGTATTTATTTACCTGTGTGCATGTTGTATCCCCACACTAGAATATAAACTCCTTGAGGGAAGGTACCTCTTCATTTTTTGTTATTGTAGCCTGAATGCCCAGTACAATGGCATGTACATCATGGATATTTAATAAATATTAGTTGAGTTGAGTTGAATTTAATTGTCTTGTCTAGTCTCTACAAAGGCTTCCCTGACTCCTCTAGGTCTTCTCTCTTTAATAACGCAGCTCTTGCAGTCTCTATCACAAAATTTAGCACTTAGTTATATACTGTCACATGTATGTACACATATATATTATATAGTATTATGCATTATGTATTATATGCATCATTTTTCTCTTCCAAACTGCATTATAAACTTCTTGAGGGTGGGGTTCATGTCTTATACTTTTAGCAGATTTGACAGGTATTGAAAAAATGTTTGTTGAATGTTTGAGAATTTTATGTAGACCTGGGCTGCTTCTTTCTTTTGTGTCACAGACACCCAGTCTGATGAAGCTTGTTGACTCCACAGAATATTTTTAAATGCATAAAAGAAAATATATTGGCTTGCAAAGGAAACCAATTATATTGAAATAGTTATCAGAATATTTTTTGTATTTTTAATATTTTAAAAATTATTTAATTAAAATAAAATATTTTTCTGTTTTTTAATTAATTAATTAAAATTAAAATTAAATATTTTAATATTAAAAAATAAGTGCAAAGACTCCAGGTAAAGGACCCCTAGTCTAGACAGTGGCTGTGAACCACTAACCAAAATTATCCCTAAACAAATTACTTCATTCTCATAATTTAACAAAAATTTATTTGGTGCCACTGAACTGACAGCTGGAAATGTAAAGCTATTGACCACATATATCTTCAAAGACCTTACAAATGAATACTTCCTTATGTAATATTGCCTTCCCTGTTGCTTACTGTCTGCCTCCCCATCCTTAAGAAATGAACAAAAAGTTCACTTCACTCTACCATTCCTGGAAGCTATATATCTTTATTCCCTTCACAACTAAACTCCTAGGGAAAAAACAAACAAACAAACATACCTGTCTTCTCTTGTTACCCCTACTTCCTCTTCCAGTTCTCAGCCTTTTCAATTTATCTTCTTATTACTTAATTGAAATGACTTTCTCCAAAGTTACAATGATCTTTTATTTGCCAAATCTAATGGTTTTTTTTTTAAATCAATTTTCACCCTTCTTGATCCTGCAATACTTGACTATTGAACATCCACCACTTTCTTAACCCTCTGTTGGCTCATTCCAAGGCTTTGTCCTGGTCCCTGCTTCTCTTGTCTTCCTATACTCTTTTTCTTCATGACTTCATTCCATACCTTTAATTTTCACATTTATGAAGATGACAAATCAATATATCTAGCCTGAGCTTCTCTCTTGAGCTTTGGTCCTTCCTCACTAACTGCCATTTGGATATCTGGCAATGGATGTCCAGTAGGCCTCTCAAACTCAACTTGTCCGAAATAGAATTCATTATCATTCCACCTAAACCCACCCTCTTCCAGACTTTCCTTTTATTCTTGCTGGTACCATCATACTTCCAGTCCGCTGGGCTTATAACTTTGGAGTCATTCTTGACTCCACTTTCTTTCACCTCATGTATCTAAACAGTTTTCAAGTGTTGTCAATTTTGCCTCATCCACATCTCTCATCTACATCCCATTCTCACTATACCCAAATGGCAGCATCCCTGGTTCAGACCTTCATCACCTCTCTCCTAAACTCTTACATTCCCTTCCTAATTGATCCCCCTTCTTCCAAACCCTTCCTTCTCCAACTGAACCCACCACATAGCTGCTAAAGTGATTTTCCCAAAGTACAGAGATGAAATCATTCCTCTACTCAAAAAACTCTAGTGGTTCCCAATTGCTTCTAGGTTCCAATACAAACCTCTCTTTTTGGTATTTAAAGATCTTTACAAGCTGATTCCAACCTACCTCTTTATTTTTCTTGTTATATATAACTCCCTTTGCCAAGCTCTATAATCTAGCCAAACTGGCTTTCTTATTATTCCTTGCTCATGATACCCTACCTCCCATTTCTGGACAAAGCACAGACTGCCTTCCTCCAATGCATTCCCTTCTCATTTCTACCTCTTAGAACCCCAAGTTTCCTTTCAAGCTCAGATCAAAAGACACCTTCTACATGAGTTTTCTTTCCTTATCCCCTTAGTTGTTAGTGCCTTCCCCACCCCTACCAGTTACTGGTATTTATTCTGTATATACTTATATATGTATTATGTTGCTTCTTCCAATAAACTGTAAACTTGTTGAGGACAGGGACTGCTTTATTTGGCTGTCCCCAGTGCCTGCTATGTAATAGATGCTTAATAAATTGTTATAGATAATGCGGACAAGGATATCTATCTATCTATCTATCTATCTATCTATCTATCTATCTATCTATCTACACAGGTAGCTATAACAAAAGGGACCATAATATCATAGATTTAGAGTTGAAAGGGACCTTAAAGGTCCAATCCCTTCATTTTAAAAATAAGGAACTGAGACCTAAAGAGGACTTATTCAATGTCACACAGATATTAATCTGAAGGAGAATTTGAAACCAGGACAAGTCTAGACTATAACTTCCTCATTCTATCTACTATGTCATACTGCCTCTCAGTAAGATACATGTAAAAGAGAGATTGAAAGAAATTTTGATGAGAAATTTGAGGGAGAGATCACATAAGGGGGGCAAGTGTAGGGGTGTTGGAGAAAGGTTTCATGGAGGGGTAATATTGCTCTGATTTAGCAACTAAATACTCTGGAGTTTGAGATACAGCAATAATACGCAAATGTAGGTCTTGGAACTGAGAGGTACAGAAAACTCTTGGGATAAAGGAGGATTGGGGAAATTATGTACAAAACAGAAGAAAATGGCAATTTTCATATTGAAAACTTGGCATGAAAAGGTTTTTTGATATGTACACAATTTTACTCTTCATATTTTTGAAAGGGAAACGTCATTAGCATTGACATTTGTATGACATGGAAAGCCCTAGTTCTGCAGAACCCAGTTTGGTAAACATTGAATTAGGAGAAAATTATGTACAGAAGGGACAAGGAAAGCAGAATACACTGGAGAGAGATGTGAAAGTAGTCAAATATCTTTTGTTATCCTTATTCTATTTCTTGGTTTCAGAGAATGGAATAACTATTAGTTTGACCTTTGATTGATGATACAGGAATTATGTTAGTCTGTGGTGATTTATTCAACATTCATTCCACAAAAATTTATTGAGTATTTATTATAAGAGAAGTGCTATGATTAGCTGGTGGGTACTATCTCCCTCTGTTCTTATTATTTTTGAAGTATTTGCTACAGTACCTATGGGCAGTAAGACAAAACATCTAAGCAATAACAAGGCAATAAATCATCTTTTAGATTTCTCATTCAGTAGAATATAAATCCTTGATAGCTGGAGCCATTTTGTTTTTGTCATTATGTCTCCAGGGCTCAGCACAGAGTATGTACTGTGTGCAGCTGGTGTACAGTAGGTACTTAATATTAATGTAGTAAATTGGATTCATTGTAATTTGATTATGTAAATTATATGATTAGGTATTGGAGTGATATTGGGAGAGGGGAGGCAGGATGATAGAAAATACTTAGAAATTTGGAGTATTGTTGGTCATAATCAGGAGAAAATATCCATCTTGACAAATTTTAATTTGCCCTGTTAATACCACAGTTAACTATGTTGTACTTCAGTGCTTCAATGAATTTGTGCTCTCATTGGCGTGAGTATTCGCTCCGCAGCTACACACGACAATCTAGTGCTTGTATGCACAGTGCTGGCTCATGAGAATAACTGGAGCTGGGATTTAGAAGGCCTGTGTTCTATACCTAGCCAAACAATTCACTAGTTTTGCAACTGTAAGCATGTTACTTAATTGCTCTGTCTCAGTTTTGTCATCTCACAAATGGGAAGATAATTCATAAATAATATTTTGCATGCCCTTTATGGTACAGGAAAACATCTTGTTTAAAAAATATGGCTTATTGGACACCATTTACAATTAACACTAGAGTTTAAGAATATCTGTACCCCTCATTTCATGGCAGTTCAGGACCCAGCAACATCATGTAGTAGAAAGAGTACTGGACTCAGAAGATGAGAGTTCAGATTCCAGCCATATTACTCATGTATCTTTGAACAAATAACAAACTCTCTGAGCCTCAAAGTCCTCATTTGTAAAATGGAGGCAATAATAATGCAACCTACTTTATGGAGTTATGTATAACCATGTAAAGTGTTTTGTAGCATTAAAATGTATCATAAATGTTTGCTGTCATTAACATACAGATTCAGAACAAAGAGAGATGATTCTTTGCTGTCCTGAATTGGTTTCAGACAAGAGACTTTCTGAGAAGGTAGGGCAATTCCAGGGCTACAATGGACTAAAGTGATCTCCGAGGTTCCACTACTAACCTGACCCCGTGGATCTAGATTTGAGGTGAGCAAGGAAAAGGAGGTGAGGTTCAAAGCCCCAAACACAGATTTCAGTGATATTTGGTAACCTGTTCTGTATTATGTAATTACAGTGTCCTCTAATGATGCACTATCTCTGAAATCTCACCATAGCATGCAAGTGACCCTGGATTCTCAAAAGCTATGTCAGCAGACTACATGAAGACTTTCCAAGTAGCACTTAAAACTGATTCTTGGGGCACCTAGGTGGTGCAGTGGATAGAGCACCCGACATGGAATCATGAGGACCTGAGTTCATATTTGACTTTAGACCAGACACTTGACACTTACTAGCTGTGTGACCCTGGGCAAGTCACTTAACCCTGATTGCCTCACCAAAAACAAAAGCAAAAACAAAAAAACAAACAAACAAAAAATAAAACCAATAAAAAACTGATTCTTACATCTGAAAATCAGCTTCGGTATGTTCAGAAAGGATCACTGCCAACATGAAGGCTTTCCAAGTAGCATTTAAAACTGATTCTTGCATCTGAAAAGCAGCCTAGGTAGGTTTAGAGAGGGTCATTGCCAAGTGGCCACCTTATGGGTCCAAAGTGTCTCTTGCAGAGCATCCACCAAAGTATAGAGAGGTTGTGATCTGTGCCAGAAACAGAGCCCCAACATCCCAGTAGGGTGTAAATTTTTTGAGGGTGAACACTGGTTTATTTTTACTTTTTCCCCTGTGATTACTTTGCCTTGGGCAGAGTAGATACTTAATAAATGTTTGCTAAATTGAACTGAACTGATGAAATCATAAATGTATTGAAGATGTATTTCTGTCATTTCTTATACTTAATTATCTCTAGAGTATTTAAGACTTAAATTAATATGGAACACATAGTATGTTACCAGGACAGTTGACATGGAGTACTCATTCTTGCTGTCCAAGTGGCAAACTCCATCATTGGGGATAACGATTCCGGCCAATTTACTGTCCATTCCAAAATGAGAATCCGCATCACTCACAAACACAAGAAGATGGAGTGAATCGTTCCTCCACCCAATTTGTTCCTATAATTAGATTGAGAAGTTCAGGGTATGTTTGATTCAGATAGACATCTGTTGAATGTTGATGAGCTATACTTAGAACTGTTAAGAATTGATAAGACTTTACATCTGCTTCATTTTTTCCATTCAGTTATCTCCCAAGGATAAAGCCATATAAGAAACACAGAACATGGTGAAATGTTTCCCTGCTCATTTTCTCAGAATTCTCTTTTAAGAGAAGATGTAGTTTGGGTTGCTCTGGTTATTTATGAAGCAGATTATTTTAAAAAATTATATTTATACTCTACCTTTCCTCTCCTCCAATTACTCTCCTCCCAACACTACCATACCAAAATCTTAAGGTCTTGCAGCATGAGAGATTATGTTAAAGATACTGTAGAAATCCTTCTCTATCATATATTTGCATTTTAAAGAAATCGCCATCACCTTCTTTGTGCTTTATACATTTAGCCCATTTAATTTCCTATTCTGATAGAATTAGCTTTTGTAAAGCAGTCTGGAATGTGTGCTTCATTTTTGGGGGTAGCCATAGCAGCATTATCCAGCATAGCATCCTACCTTACAGACAGCAGCTTGCATAATTGCATCAAATCCCCCCTCTGGAGTGTCGATATTTGCTGAAATTTTCTGATTCTTCACGATTTCATTGAACCTTTCTGCATCACTTGTCAGTGGTAGAATGTGTTTAAATCCAAAGGTAGGTAAGCAAAAATGGGGAACACTACTGCAAAAGAAGATGCAAAAACATCTATAATAAAACCTATCAGAACATAATTTATTCATCAGGAATAGCCTCATCAGAAATTCCTTAAGAAATGTTTGATTTTCAGAAGTATCTGGTTTTGTGATTTGGCCTTGAATCTCACCATTGGTTCTAAGTCACAGCTTTCATGCTTGAAGGATCTTTGATGCCATTAACATGGATACTCCTTGACTCAATGTAGATTTCAATGCTTTCACACTTTCTCATCTTATGCCATACTGTCTACACATTCTCATTTGAATCCTCCACATTATACCAGTTTATAAAAAGTCAACAATGAAATTGTTAGAGTGAAAATTGTTTCTTGCAACTCCTAACCACATCAATAACTTTCATTGGGTCCTTACTGTAATAGATGTTGCTAGGCTAGGAGGCAGGACATTTTCCAGCCCCAGCACATGAAATCTCACAATTTACAAAGGTAGAAAGGACAAACATAAGTCAAATTATACTATATTATCCCAAAATAAGATGTAAAACCCCACCCAACTCATTAGAGTGCTAGCTACAGAGACAGAGAAAAACTAAGTGAATGACTGGAGTCATTGGAGCTAGCAACAGTTAACCTGGGAAGCTTTCATGGGAAAAGTGTATTCTGTGCAGCATGTGGCCTGGCTGTAAGGAAGAGCATGGTANNNTTCTGGAAAAGGAATGGTATGTGCAGTATATTGGAAGTGGGGAGGGACAGTTTTATTAGAGCAAGGAATAACTAGTAGAATTACTGAGCCAAATCTAAAGGATATGTATTGGACACAGAGTAGAGGGTAGAAACAGTGAGGTGTAGTAGAGAGAGACCAGGGTTTGATTTTTGGCTGGTAAACTCACTAGCCACGTGACCCTGGCCAAACATTTTAATTTCTTTGTGCCTCTCTGTCCTCACCATAAAATGAAGATAATAATACAATGTAAATCTCAAAGGCTTATTGAAATGAGAGCTGTTTTTCTTCTGAGGACAATTAGGTAATGGAAAAGGGAACAAGGAATCTTAGGTAATGGAAAATGGAGCAGTATGAAAGAGTAAACTTGGTTTAACAAGGAACTCGAAGCTTCTCAGAATAGAAGGAAAGTGAGTTAAATGATCAAGACGACTGCTGACATAGATTACAGCTAACTAGAAGGGGAATTCAAGAGGGCAAAGGCTGGAGGCAATGAAGTCAGCCAGGAGTCTATTGTAATATTTAGGGTGAAAGGTATTTAGAACTTGGATGTAAGCAGAGCAGAACAGGAGCACAGACCAGTGTGGGGATGTTTGCCTTAAGTACTTCTTCCCCTTGCATCAATCTCAGCGTTTCATTCATTCATTCATTCAACAAGCAATTATTAAGCACCTCGCAAGTGCCAGGCACTACGCTGGTTCCTGGAGAGATAAATACAAAGATGAAACAGTCTCTGCCCTCAAGGAGTTTCTGTTCTATGGGAGAGTGGTAGAGCATGAATGTATTTAAGAAAAATACATACAAATTAATTATTGAGGGGATTGTTGTTTAGTCATTTTCAGTCACGTCCAACTCTTTGTGATCCCATTTAGTGTTTTCTTGGCAAAGATACTAGACTAGTTTGCCTTTTCCTTCTCTGGCTCATTTTACAGATGAGGAAACTGAGGCAAATAGGGTTGAGTGACTTGCCCAGGGTCACACAGCTAGTAAGTGTCTGAGAGCTAAATTTGAACTTAGGTCTTCCTGACTCCAAGTCCAACACTCTCTCTACTAAGCCACTTACCTGTTATGTAGGGCTTTTGGTAAATTCTCATTGGAGGATTCATGTAATGCCTTGGAAGCTTTCCTGAATATCTAGAGGGTTCCAAAATGGCATTTGAATTATAGATCTACTATTTGTCATTCTTTTTGTTTGACTGGCTCACCTTTTCTTCCAGTTGTACGTGTCCTTTCTTCTACACCATTTTTCAAAGTCATCTTTGATAACATATTGTAGCCTTTTTTTATTCCTTAACATGAATCTTTCATTAACCTTTTGCTATCTGCAACTAGATTTCTTCCAACTAGATTTCTTTTGCAGTGGTAGGTGCTTCATGGCTAAATAGTATTGCTGGGAGAACACTAAGGATAAAAAAATTCAGTTTTTGTAGGAGTGATATTTTCCCAAATATAATCCAATCTGTTCTCTTCTGAGAATTCTGAACTCAACTCACTGTCCATCTGCAACATCTGCCTGAGATATACAAACACATTGGGCTGTAGATCCAATTGCATACCACAGTCTAAGAAACATATATATCATCCACTTTATTTCTTTCAGTGTACATTGTTAAGTTTGTATCTTTTGAACGGTCATGATTTCATTAATAGTCTTTGTTTGGTACAGTTAGCACAACGCCATCTGTGAATAGTAACATCTCAAGAACATTGCCAATCATATTTTCCTGTGGACCCTCTTTAGGGCATTCATCATTACAATGGAAAATACTTTAGGTAAACAAATGCCTTTCTAGTTTGTGGCTTGATTCTTAAAATAGTAACTCACACTTACAGTATACTTTAAGGCTTGTGAAGTACTTTACTACATGATCTCATTCAATCCTTACAAAAATCTTGTAAAATAGTTTCTATGAGGCAAAGTAAGATTAAGTGATTTGCTGAGGTTTATATAGTCAATAAACGACTGTGATAAGATTCAAACCCAGAACTTCCTGACTCCGTGTCCTATTCTGTAGACACTCATCCATACTGTTTTTTTTTTTTTGTAAATATACTTTGGGTCACATAGTTGTAACTATAACAGAATTTTGTATTATATTAACATATGTATGGAAGCTACCTTGTTTGAAGAGAGCCCCTAAAGCTGTATTTTGCTTTTCTATGCCAATATACTTTAAGACTTCAGGGAATCCAAGACCCTATTGGCATGGGTACCTCCTCTTTCAGTGTAGAATACAACTTACCCATGTCTGCTCACCATATGTGATTTTTATCCATGTCTTTCAGTAAATCCTCCATAGAGGTTCATGGATTTTAAGAGTCAGAAAGAATCCTACTGGCCATCTAGTACAATCCTCGTGAAGCATCCTTTCTCCATTATCTCTAATAAGTGATTCATCCAGTCTTTGCCTGAAGAACTCTAGTGAGGAAAAGCCCACTCTTTCCCAAGGCAAGGTTTTCCTGATATCAAGCCTAAAGCTACCTCCCTGTAACTTAAACCCACTATTCCTAGTACTGCCAGTTGAGACCAAGCAGAACACCACTCATATTTTTTCCATATGATAGTCATTAAAGTACTTAGAGACTGCTATCATATCCCCCATTGATCTTTTCTTTCCCAGGTTAATCATTCATAATTTCTTCAATCTTTTTTTGTTTTTGTTTTTGTTTGTTTTTGGTTGGGCAATGGGGTTAAGTGACTTGCTCGGGGTCACAGAGCTAGTAAATGTTATGTGTCTGAGGCCGAATTTAAACTCAGGTCCTCCTGAATCCAGGGCCAGCGCTCTATCCACTGTGCCACCTAGCTGTCCCTCTTCAAACTTTAGGATACATTCTCAATCAATATCTTTCTGTATCAGGATGGCTAACTAAAACTCAAAAGAGGATTATCAAGTTATCCCAATATCATGAAAGTTTTGAATAGCTCACCTGGGAGCACCGCTGTTCAAGAAATACCCTTTAGAATTCCTACAAACACTTGATTCTACTAACACTCTATTTTACCCTGCAATTTAAGAAAAGCTTTGTGGACATTCCCCCGTAGAAGATTCCCCCAACCTCATTTAAACAAATATATTCATACATTTGTGAAATTCTATTAAAATATCTTGACATATTCCTATATAAGGTAGAAAGTTTTGCCAATGCCATGGGGGCCTAGGTTCCATGCCAAGAAACCATTCCATGAGCTACGTCAGGAACAATTAAAAGGCTGAAAGTCTGTCTTAAAGGAAAGATACAGAATCAAGGAATTGAGATGGCATCTCCCCAATAATTAAAACACCAAAAAAAATCTGAAATAGAGATGTAAAAAATAGAAATATGATTTAGAACCTCAGAAAAGATAACAAATGATAGAGATACAATCAGACTACCTCTGTTCATATACTTGGTGCCATATGTTGATGAGCGACATTTCCCCAGGAAATGTGCCCCCACCATCCTGGAGAATTGAACTGGTACACATCAGAGAGCCAAAAGCAGCAATATCTTATTTTACTAGGACTAGCTAGATGTCAAATGTATATCTATGCATATATCAATGAATATGTGGAATCAAGGACACATAAACATGTGTGTATGCTGCTATTATTTCTATATTAAGAGGATCAAATGTCAAAGGTAGGAGGTAGTAATCATCGTGTTCCCTTTGGCAGACCTTAACGTTGTTTGTACCCATCACCTATGTGTTATGTCTGACCTGTCTTCTCACTAACCTAAAAGCACCTTCCTAAAATATATTGCCCCAAACTGAACATGATATCCCATATGTGGTCTGACTGGGGCTCTCTCACCACGTCCCTTCTCAATTTCGTCTGGTATAGTATTAGCCCTTTAGGGCCCCATGTCACACAGTTGCTTCATTTGGATCTTGCAGTCCAGTAAAATCTCAAGGAACCTGGTGAGGACATTCTCATCCTATGCTGCTACAGCTGAGTTTTTGAACCCAAATGTAGAACTTTACATTTACTCCAATTAAATTGTATCTTCCTATTTCTGAAGCTTTTTTCTCTTCTATCCCATGCTCCCTGGGCTCAGGTCCCATTTCTGACACATGGGTTGCATTACAAGTCACAGTTTCTTATGGCTTGAGGAAGCACTTTAAGAGTGTAAGCTGCAGAACGATTAGCTATCTGCATTGATTGGTAGAAGGTATTTCCTCATAGGGCATGCCTTACTTACATCAATGGAATCACAAATCTAGTCCAAAACCAAATAATTTTTCCAAAAAAGTTAGTGTTCATCTTGTTTGATTCGGGGCATCACTCCAACCTGTCCACATATTTTTAGATATGGACTCTGCCATCCAGTATGTCATCTCTACCTTACCCCCCACACACATACACCCCTGCCTATCCCCATCTTCATGTTATTTGCAGATTTGACAGACTTGCCATCTTTGCCTTTATTCAAATCACTGATAAATCAATCAATCAATCAATAAGTGAACATTTACTGTAGGCCTACATGTCAGGTGGGGTAGCTAGGTGGTACAGTGGATAGAATGCCAGGCATGCAGTCAGGAAGACTCATCTTTCTAAGTTCAAATCTGGCCTCAGACACTTACTTGCTATGTGACCCTGGGCAAGTCACTTAGGCCTGTTTGTCTCAGTTTCCTTATCTGTAAAATGAGCTGGAGAAGGAAATGGCAAACCACTTCAGTATCATTGCCAAGAAAACTCCAAATGGGATCACAAAAAGGTGGACACAACTGAAATGATTGAACAACAACTGAAAGTTGAATGGGCCTGCCTTCAGAGGTAGAACTATAGATTTTGGGACAGCTAGGTGGTGCAGTGCATAGAGCACTGGACCGGGAGACAGAGGACCTGACTTCAGATCCAGTCTCAGACACTTATTAGCTGTGTGACCCTGGGCAAGTCATTTAACCCTGTTTGCCTCAGTTTCTTCATCTATAAAATGAGCTGGAGAAGGAAGTAGCAAACCACTTCAGTATCTTTGCCAAGAAAACCCCAAGCAGGGTCACAAGGTGTCAGACATATTCAACAACAACAACAACACACCAGGCACTCATAAAAAATATTGAATGGCAAAGGACCAAAGACAAGTCCATAGAGTCTCGATTAGAGCCTTCCCTCCAAATTGTTATATAACCATTACTGACTTCTCATTAGGCCCAGCCATTCAAACAGTTCCAAATTCACCTTTTGCTACCTTTTACTGTCATCTAGCTCAGGGCTGCTTAATTTTTTTCCATTTGCTACCCCTTCAGCACTTCTTAAACTGTGGATTGCGACCCCATATGGAGTCCCGACCCACAGTTTAAGAAGCACAATTCATGCTCACAGCTTGCTCACCAGCTTGGTATAACTCTGGTATGTTTGTGCAACACAAACAAGGTTTTCTAGACCCAGAGTTGCCTTCATACCAGATGCATCAGATTGAAACTTCTGGGCAGAGTGCCTATCCTCAAAGGGAAAATCTCTGATACAAGTACCTGCAGTACAATCTAAAATTAACAAATGTATGGGAGGGCTTATAAACTATATGCTAAAACATTTCTTTAGAGAGATGTCTGAAAGGATTAGGGAAAGCTTCATGGTGGAGATGGCACCCAATAAGACCAGAAGGGCTGAGGAAGAATTCAATAGTCAGAGATAGGGGAAAGGAGTGGCAGGATTATCCTCTAAGGCTTAAAAGGCCCAACATTAGAGGAGTTGGTGTCAGAGATTTTATGGGAGCTCTTACTGCTCCTCAGAGGATGCTTTCTTCTTCTTCTAGAAGACTAGCTGCCACCAAGGCCTTGGAGAAGAAGTGTTTTGTCTCAGTCAATATCCTTTTTTAATTTGAGAAATTGTGTTCTTTTAATCTTTTATCAGTCAAGTTGTTTTCATTGAATTTTTATGGTTCATGAGTATGCGTTATTCATTCAAGATACTTCGCTGGCAGATATAGTAAAACAATTGAGCTTATTAGTTTAATTGTGTTCTCCAGTAAAGCATCATACCCATTATAGTGAACTTCTTGACACCGTTGTTTACCTAGCCTTCCAGTTTGAACTCATCCAAATGTATCCCCGTGGGGCAGAAGTAACTCAGAAGTAACTAGCTATGACTACCCTTGGTAGTTTGTGGCAGGAAAGGGAAATATATATAAAAACTAAAAGCCATTTAGATTCATGCTATTATCTGTACTGGAAGTTTAATAAATAGTTTTGTTCTCAATAATTAGAAGTATGAAGTTCACGCACAAAGTTTCCCTTAACTTACAGTGAGTCAGAGTACTGAGAAATTGATGCACTCCTTGAAATTTGTTTTCACCTAATCCTGAGGCTATGCCAGTCATTCACCCAAGCTGTCTTGTGCAAGACCTCAAAAACTTTATTTGGCCAGGCTCCAGTTGAAAAACAACTTATACTTTTGAAAATAGTATTTTAAAACTTGTTTTTCTTCTTTACTCCCTGGTGATGTTGTATGTCTGGGAATCATGGAACACCAAAGGGACATGGAAAAATGCATGTCAGATATATTGGCTTTAGCATGTAATTATAGATGACTTATGGGAAGGAGCAACAGAAAAGACTTTTTTGTGGGCAAGTATGACTGGAAAAGGAGATGGGGGCAGTTATGTCAGGAGAATGAGAGATAAGAGAGGGATACCCTTGAGGTATCAATAGAATCAGAGGAGAGCCTCCAGCATGTTAGATGAATGAAGTCACAGATCTATTAAAGTGTCAAAGTATAAGTTTTTCTTTCATATATGCTGGAAACTTTGATGTATAAAAATGTATGTCAAATGCTAACATGAGCTTGGAAAATGGTTTTATAAATACAAGTGTTTTTGTGCATTTCAGGGGGGTTAACATTTTAAAATGGATAATTTCAATTACATTAAATTAAAAAGTATGCTTTACATTTCACAAGCAAGGTAATTGGTGTCTCTTGACCAATGTGTGCATAATCCATGTTTTAAATTGATGATTACATTATAATATATAATGGACTCACAGAAATCACTTTCCTACTGAAAATTGTTGGTTGTTGGGGTGTAAATGGACTGTAGAAGATAAATAAGAGAA